CGCAATGACGCACCGGAGGAGGGGGAGGAAGGCGAGCGCTCCACGCGGGCCAGCAGAGCGCGCTTGCGCACTACGCGCCTCCAGCTCGTCCGCCCGCGGCACGTGCGGGCGCCCCCTGGCGGTTCGCGCGGACAGAAGCACGTGCGGCTGCAAGCCGGAGCAAAGCATGAGTCAGGCTCGCGGAGAACAAGGAGCGCGCGGAGCTTAGCGCAAAGCGCTTGGCAAAGAGAAGGTCGGAAGTGCAGGTGATTAGCCGGGGAGCGCACCACATCCTGCCTCTCTCTCGGCCCTTTGAACTCCTGGATAGGCCGTAATTAGGAGGGCTCAGCCGGTGCCCTACCTGCTTGCTCCAGCTCTTGAAGCCTTGTTTTGAAGTGTTGATCCAACCGATTTGAAGAGCTTTGCTGAAGCTTGTGTGGGCTTAAGAGAAAGGAAACAAGGTGAGCGAGCTTAGGTATAAATACCCCGCAGAGAGAGACGGTCCTGTCCACGGCTCCGCAAGTCTCTTTCTCACGGTCAGTCTCTTGCGAAGACTGCCTCGCTCGGCTTCAACGCTCCAGCACCGCTTAACTAACAGCCAGAGCTGCAGCACCCCTTGGACACAGGTTTGCCTGTCTGAAGGATGGACGCAGTCTGGCTGCTGGCACTCAGCTGCATCTGTTCCCCGCTGGTAGCCCTGGTCCTGGACTCCAACACCATCAAGAGCGCTGCAGAAGTGCACGGCCCCAAGACGGTGAGCACCCAGGGACTGAATGAATTTGGTGGGGAGGGCCGTGAATCTGGCTGGTTTCTCAGGCTGTAACCAGAGGAGGGGAGGGCCGTTTGAATCAGGGCCGGGCATAGAGCAGAGAAACATTAAGCAAGAGGATAGACTTACTTTTGCGATACTAACGGACCTGCTTGTGCAATACATGCGGCTGCATCTCTAGCTTAAGCAGACAAGATTCAGCTGTCGTTAGAGCACATCCAGCTGGACGCGGGGATTTCTAAATGGAGAAAATTCTGAGACTGGGGGTGCATGGCTCTTCTCAAAAGACATGGGGAAACAGACTCCTTATATATACACAAGCCAAGTGGTGGCAGCAGCCTGTCTGAGCTGATGAGCTCCTTCCGGGAGCACTACATTAAGGGTCTGAGCCCAGGACTGCAAGCAAAGGAGGCTCAAGTCCTGTTTTCAGTTCAGAAAATGACCTGCTCTGTAGCATCAGGGCACTTACCAGATTGCCATGTGCTATGAACACCACCCCTTGTGGGCAGTAGGAAATGTAGAAGGACTGCTACTTTTAAAATGCTAATACTGTGAAAGAACCGCTACTTGCTGAGAGCCAGCATTGCACAAGGCCTAATGAAGAATGCAGCTGCAGCCCTTTTCACCAGACATGCTGAGCCAGAGCCAGAACACTAGCAAGTCTTATTTCTGCAATAACACGCACAGGAGGCTCAAGTCTCTTTCTGTACAAGCAGCAGAGCATTTTATTACTGGTGCTGATAAACATGAGTTTTTCCCTCTGAAGAAAATAAGCATTCTCCCTCCCTCCCTCTCTCTCTGTAGAGCTCACCATGCATGATAGACAAAGACTGCAATGCAAGCAAATTCTGTCTCACTCCCCAGGATGGCATGCCTTTCTGCTCTACCTGCCTTGGGTTACGGAGAAGATGCCGGCGCAGTGCTATGTGCTGCCCAGGGTCTATTTGTCTAAATGGTAAGCTCTCACACTCATGTATTCCTGGTATTTAAAAGGGAGAGTGAAAGTAGAACAGGAAGGACCATGCACACTGCAGAAGTGATGGTGAGGTTTTGAGAGATTTACTTTCTGATAATGTTGAATCTAATCCCTATGGCCTTTCTTTACAAAGCAGTTTTCTTAACTGAGTCATGCAGCAGACTAGAAGCTTTTTCAAAACAAACTGCAGTGTTGTATACACAGCTGAATCCATTAAGAACAGCAAAGCTGATAGTAATAAGAACAAAGCCCTTGTTATGAAGCATAGCTAACTGAGGCAAATCTATAGCCAGCATGTTCAGGGGACTTATCAGAAGACTTATCTTCTTATAGCAGGAAGAAATTAAATTTTAACAAGAGGCACAAGAGGCTAGCTAAGAATACAGTGAAAATACTGATACAGCGAAGGAAAAAGCATTTTATAAGTCGCTCTGTATTTAGAAAGAAACACAACATATTTACACCGTATAGCAATAAGGAAATACTTTGACTAAAAAGAAAGCTACAAGAATGAATTAAGATGTGGGGAATAAAAGTCTTACAGTTCTAATCTGTGCAGAGTTTCCAAGAGATAAAGGTTAAGAGATGCAGTGATCAGTCTACCACTATTTCTAAGGGAAGCTTCTTTAATTTAACACAAAGCTTCTAATGGTTGGCAGCTGAAATTCAGACTAGAAATCAGATTGATACCTTTTAACTTTAATTCAAGTTAGGCTCACTTACCCAGGGGTCTGCTGGATTCTTCATCATCACCTGAAGTGTTTGAGTACAGACTGGATGTCTTTTCAAAGACAAGCTGTAATTTAAACAGAATCTGTGGTCTTAATGTCGATATTAACAGTGAGGGTCTGTGGCCTGTGTTTTATGCAAAAAAGTGAGACTGGCTGCTAAGAAAGTTTGGGGGGTTTTCCAGCCTTAAAGCTCTATGCAGCTATGAAAGGTCCCTCCAAACAGCAATATCAGCATTCCAGCGCTCTCCATAGATATCCATAATTGTAGCCTTCTCCTTTTTGCACTAGACGTTTGCAGCCGGGCTGAAGAAGTTAACCGAACGGAGGGAAGGAGGACTGATGAGCAGGATGGTTCTGAGCTGGAGTGGACAACCCAGCATCAGAGCCAAGAAAACTCTTCCAAGAAAGTAAATGTCACCTCTCAACATAGCAAAGGTAATGTGGGCTGAAGAAGAAGAGGGGAAATCATATTCCAGCAGAGGAATAAAGTATACCAAAATGGCAGGATGGGGAGGGGAAGAGAGAAAAGTAAAAGTCTGTGGAGATGCCTGGAATCTCCCATTAGGAAAGAGTGTTTGTACTTTACTTCGTTTGCATAAGAAATATGAACAGATAGATTCCAGCAATCCTTAAAACTATACATTGGAGAGAGCCGCACTGGAGAAAGCCACATAGTTTCCTCCACTGAGATTAAAATAGCACCTAAGATAATTCAGTCAACAATTTACAAAGAGGGGAAGAACTGGGGTTTGGTTAGTAGAACATCCAGAAAAAACACTGATATATGTACTTGCTCAGAAATAAAACACGTTCAATTTGTTTCTCTCTTCGTGAGCATGGGACCTCACATTTTGCATCATGTACAATGGCAAGCAGATTGATTATGCTTATGTAATAGGAAATAAGTTTGTTATTCATAACTAAAAAGCTAAGTGTGCATTGTTCCTTTAACATTAACCAAGGGATACTGCAATTTATATAATTAACCCATCGCAATACAGGAAAAGCAGTGGCAGGGGTTTCAAGAGTTTAAGGCTTCAAAAGCTCAGTTATTCAGCAAGCTTGAAGGAACTATTACTACTGCATTATTTTTACTAGCATAGTGCTTAAGTCACAGATAGCACAGGGGCCCGTTGTGCTAATCACCATACAGACAAAGGACTAAAGCTGCAAATGTTTACGCACGTGCCTAAATGTTTGCTCAGACCAGCAGAGAGAGAGAGGAAGACTAGCCCCATCCAAATGAGCTTGCATTTAAAGAGTAAGCTACAAATGAGCTTATACTAGTGAAAAACTTCCAGGGTAGAAGATGGGTTATGTCCACGGTGGGGAGAGGGGGAAGGAGGGCTGTATACAACCTGTAGATTAATGCAACAGCAGCAGCAGTCCTGGCTGTGATTATCGCTCGGTAAACTTTTGTACGCAGGGCACTGACTCTTAAATTCCTTCCTGAGAAGATAAAGATGACTTTCAGGGTGGTGATGCTAGAGGACAGGCAGTTGAAACAGCACAGAGATCTTTGTGTTAGGAAAATAACACTTGTGTTCCAAGTGTCCGGCAGAAGTTTAACCAATAACCCACTTCCAGGTTTCTAAGCAGCTGGATCAGAGCAAGGGCTGCATAGGAGATGTGGGGGGAGGTGTTCTACAACTGAGCAGATCAGGACTCTGGCCTAGAGCAAGTCACACCTCAGTTTAAGGTCTCCTTTAGCTTCTTTGCCTGAGGAACAGGCAGTCAAGCCGTACCCTGTCAAGAAGCTGCAGTGAGCCCCAAAGTTTTGCTATCAATTGAGAGCATTTGAACAGGGCAAAAGAGCTAAAGGGAATTAGGAAACAGCCAGAATTGGGGTGGGAGGAGGAGGAGGCAATGGGTCCCCACTGGTGGGGCTGTGTTTTCTCACAAGGAAGAGTGGGTGGGAGGGATCTGTGGGCAAGAAATGGTGTTTGAAGGAGCAAAAGTATAGGGTGAGTTGATACATTTTGTGCAGGTCAAGAGGGAGACAGCTGCCTCCGGACATCAGACTGCACCACAGGGCTTTGCTGCGCTCGCCATTTTTGGACCAAGATCTGCAAGCCAGTTCTCCACGAGGGGCAGGTCTGCTCTCGACGGGGACACAAAGATGTTGCTCAAGGGCCAGAAATCTTCCAGCGCTGCGACTGTAGCCCTGGCCTGACTTGCCGTGTGCTGCTCGCTGGGATTCCCCAACGATCACGCTTAAGTGTTTGCCAGAAAAGCTAAATTACCATTAAAATGCTCAAAGCCAGAGGAGAGAGGAGGAGGGACTCACCCTCTAACTCCAGAGCGACTTGTGCACTATTCTGTAAAATCATCCCTAAACTTCCGCAGACAAACACTTAGAACATTCAGTTCTAAGAGGTGGGTGCCCTGTTCTCTCCTTCTCCGTTTCTATGCCCTGAGGGTCCTGCCATACCCACCACTAAACCCTGGCGGGCTGACCTAGAGCCCAGGGACATTTTGGGCGGAGTGGGGAAGTCCTCTGGTAAAGTTTCTGTTCCAGCATCTGACTCCAGGTGCCAAGGTAAGGAAATAAAAACATCATGTTCACCCAGACACTAAACATTTTCCTGAAGCTTTCCCCACCCCCATTCAGTCACTGAACCAAGAACACAACTTGGCCTGGAGCTCGAGGTGGAGGCCAGGTGCTTACTGGCTGCTCTAGGGATCAGTGTTGCTGTCCTACAACATGGAGCACAAAAGGCCTACCCAAAGCAAGCATGAGGCTGATCTAAGGTCCTCATCTCTACAGTCCCTGTAGGGAGGGGTTCTCTGTAGCAGAGACCTTCCTTATCCCAACCAATTTCCAACTCTTTGGTTTCTTAATAGAACAGCTCAGTTCTCTCAAAGGAGCCAAACTTACCACCTAATACATAACATGCAAGAGCTGCAATTCAAGCACAGTGCCAGGGCTGTTGACAAAAACAGGACCACAAGAGTCAATGTAGAAATGTCATTCCCTGCCACCTTCCCCAGATGCCCAACGATTACATCTCCTACTACTGAGAGGGAGTTCAAACCAAGTCCTGACATTTTTTTTTTTTTTTTTAAAGTAAAAAAAGATAAAGGACAAAAATGGCTAATCACCGATGGGAGAGCATGTGCCACAAAACCACGGCTCTATGCTGGCCCTCGCTCATGATGCTCAAAGGAAAGCTACACAAGTCTTAGCAGGCAGGCTGGGAGCAGAAACTCCCAACTTCACTACACTGGACATGAAAAAAAAAAAACCTCATGAACTTAACACATTTTTTTGTTACACCACATTTTAGGCCCCTGATTGCATCTCCCATTAACTTCTCCCTGCTCTGCTTGATAACCATTCATGTCCCCTTCATAGGGTCAAATTCATTAATGTATTCAGGTTATGCTAAAACAATTGCTGTAACTTGAATTTAGCTCGGCCTGTCTACAGCCCTGAGGAAAGGCACTTAATGCCTCTCTCTCTCTCAACTGTACCAGGCAATGCAATTAGATATAGCCTCGCTTCACAATGATGAGAAGGCAGTGTCCACACTCAGCTCACACAACTGCACATGCAAACCAGGCTGTTTCCTTTAGAAGTTTTATTGAAGATATCAAATAGAGCAAACCAAAAGTTTACATATTTCATGTATTTCGTTCCCATACAGGAAACAAGTACTAGCTAAGTACAGATGTTACACTTGAGAAAAAGTGCAAATCAGCATGATAGGCAGAATCAGTGGGGTCAGTCATTTACAAAAGGCAGGCTTACCAATGACTGTGAAAGATGATTTGTATACAGTGGACTATATACACCAGTGGTTTCCAACCTTTTTAAGTAGGAGATCACTTTTGGCATTTAAAAGCAACCCAAGATCTACCGTGCACCGCCACACCCCCTGCCCACCCAGCAGGTACATCTGTGGGGAGGCAAAGGGAGAAAAATGTATTGGGGCATGCCTCCCCAGCAGTTAAGTCCCACCTGGCTGGGGCCCCACTTACCCCTGCTCCTGCTTCTGCAACACTGTCCCACACTGCAGTGGGGCCTTGATCTAGCCCCCGCTCCTTCCCTCCCCCACAGACTGACCTGCTGGGCTGGGGCATGTGCGTACGTGTACACAAGCACTCAGCCCCCACCGCCCCAGCCTCGGATCGACTCCAAGAGGCTCCAAGATCCACTGGTTGGTGACTACTGATATACACCATTTGGCATAGGGGCAGGGAAGGATGATTTCCAGCAAATACACAGAAGCAAGACAGCTTGGTGGGAGAGAAATGCCCTAAGCACCTGGCTTGGGGATCATAAGGGAAGACAAACAATATCAGACAATAAAAGCAGCCTCATCCACTGTGCATTATGAGATAGCTACAGTCCTTCTTCCTAAGGCCCTCCCCCCCATACCTCTGCGCATTTGTGGAAAAAGCAAAACGTACAGAAATAAAGAGTTTTCAGTAAAAGCTATTTTAAAAGACAGAGCACGTGCCTTAACTAACCACCAGGTGGCACATGGAGAGGCGCTGGGGCCTTCCTTTCCATCGCAGCAGCCTGTCACGCTTAATACATTCTTTGCCAGGAGATTCTTTGTCTTCAACCAGCACCGAAGTGACTTTACATTTGGGTTTGTTCTGGACTATTTCTTTCTTCCACGTGAAGCTGCAACCAGCTCCAATCCAGAGACTAAGAAAGCAGCAAACACACTCGTTAATAAAGTGTGCCACCCATAAAGCTGAATTTTGTTCTGTCACTCTGGTCCAGAAGAAAGTATTAATTCCCTCTCTTCCAGAAGTTCACCATGATGGTTGCCCTACGAGTCAGACAGTAACTAGAAAAGTCCCAGGACAAAGAAGTGTTATTTTGTTCTGTTTAAAGAGGGTAGTATCCTCAGCCCTCTATGTATACACTTCTTCGCTGATCTCGGGGAAGCCATTTGCTGGTCCCCCTCCCACCCCACACAGGCACACATGCTCCATTCGGCCAAGGACGTGCCTCTCCTCCGCCATATGAATGCGCATTGCATGCCCACGTACAACTGGCCAGCATCTTTAGCTTGCAATCTCTCTCCTCCTGTCACCACCCAAAAGGAAGTTTAAAAGAGATGGAAACTCTTACCATGAAGCTCTGGTCCTGATCCTTCATCGTGTCATTCATCATGATCTCTAACTGGCTGCAGAGATCCTGTGATTCCATCAGCAGCTCCACGCTACAACAGACAGGAGTTACATCCACAACTGAGTGGACATGTCTGTTCCCTGTGCTACGTGGTGTCTAGCTCAGCTCCTGGGCGGCTGGGTGTCTCAATGGCAGCCTGCTACATAGCAGTGACTGGGTCTAACTGGGATGGCAAAGGTTTGCCATGTGACCAAAAGATAGCTGAGAACAAGGCAGCTAGCGACAAGAGAACAAACCCTATTTCTGTCCCTTTGGTCCTGGGAGTTACTGAGTGGCCTGTGAAATGTGGTAAAAGCAGCATGCAGCATTCCTCTGTGGACAGCAGTGACCTGCCTGGTAAGGTAACCTGGAGAAGGGCACACCCCCAGACCGGGTCTGATCTTCTGAAGTTAAGACTGCACCCAGTCCATTTTTCTCCTTTATTTTCAAGAGAATGACTCAGTACCAAGGCCAGGCAGCCATCCAGCTGCAGTACTCGATAACATTGTCCTAGCATGCTCAGTGGGTTTGGCTGGGCTTACAACTTCCCACTGCCTCTTTACAGCACAGCTTTATGGACAGCCCAGTTCTCCAGTTTCACTGTGTTACTTCAGATGCAGTTCTGCTCATCTGCCCCTCTGACCTCTAACCCACCCCCACCATCCTTGTTGCTGTGCGAGACTGAGGAGCTGCAGAAGAAATGAGAACGTTTTTTTCCCCTCAGCTACACTAGTCACCTGTGTACCCATGAAAAGAACAGAGGATTATACTGTTCAGATGGAAAGGAGCTGGACTGACCCCTCTCCCTGTCAAATGCCCATGGATGTGGCTTACAACTCCCTAGTCCTCATTCACAGTACCTTTTCTTTATTGCTTCTGGCGGGTTGTAGGTTACAGCAGGGATGTGCGACAGCAGCTGACCTGGGTTACTAAGTCGTGAGGCATTCATGCTCTCAGGGTTACTGCTGACAGGGCCACGCACCTTGCTCTACAGTGAAAAAGGACAAAGCAGGCTCATTCCTACACAAGCCTGTTTCCATCAGCAGGCACTTGCCAAAGGCAGGAGAAGGGTCTGTGTTTGCCCCAGTCCTCACCCCCAAATTTCTAAGCTAAGTTTGACCCAAGGGGAGATGGTAATACAGACATCTGGTGGCCTTGCCCCCCCCACCATTGGAAAGAGGTCTGAGCTCAGGGCCATGCAAGATGTGTTCAGTGTGTTGTTCCTATAGCAAATGACAACAAAAGGAAAGCCTCACTCTGTGCAGCCATGCACCTGCCTTAAGAGCAAACATGGCTGAAGGAAGCCCCTGCTACAAAGATGAAAAACTCGCCTCCTGGGGAGCACTCAAAGGGGCTGTAAGTCAGGTGCAGAAGCCTGGAGGAGCAGCAGAGGCTTTTCACAGGGCTCTGAAAGAAGCCAGTTTAGCTGAGCAGCCAGAGGGCCCACACAGGCAGTCCCACGCAAACCTGCGCTTCACTCACACAGGCTATTTTCAGCAGGTTCCACAGTTCCTTCTGCCGCTTCTCCTGCAGCCTGACAACAGTGTTCTCATCCTCATTCATCAGACTCATCACCTCCTCCACACGAGGGAACAGCTCCAGGGCCTTCTGCTTGCAGACAACAGTCTTGCTATAAAGAGTAACAAGCAGGTGACATGTGAGTGGCTGCAGCAGGCTCAGGTGCAGAGGGAGAAACTTCCGTGGACTACATGCACTGCAGCTCAGATCAGCAACTGCTGTCTGACTGCTCACTGGCAACATGCAACTCTTAACTGCCCCCCCGCCCCTCCTCGTATGCAGAGCTACAGCCAGAGCTGCCCAGCCAGGCCTGGTCTCTACATGAAGCCGGTGTTCTGAAAGTCACCTGAGTTGGGAATAAATGAGCCGGACCTTCTTCTCAAAGGTCTGGATTGCCTGCAGGAGCAGCCGCACAATCTCCTGGCTGTCGCCACTGGTCCTCTGGTCTGGGGAAGAAAAACAAGAATCAGAAGCTCAGCACAGGGCACAGGAGGCTCACAAGGCACATGGGGACACAGCCAGTTATAGTCTGTTCCCAAAGCACCTTTCCTTCTCCTGGACCCCAAGCTTTAGGCACACAGCCCCTGGATATGGGGCCACACATGGCAGACATTAGCCAGCCCAGCTTGTGGGGGACAACACATGCCTGACTAGCCAAAAATGTGGGCCAAATGCCCTGCTTAAATGTATGTCATTGTCATTGACCTGAGACAGAGTCCAAGGCAAAGCTGGACTGGACTCTGAAAGGAGTTCAGCTGCTGGGAGCAGCTGGGGACAAGGCAAGGCTGGGGTCTGGCTTTGAAATGCCATCACGACTCCCCAAGAAGCTATGGGCTAGAACTGACAAAGAGCCCTCAGGCCCTTGCAGGAGGCAGTGGACCCAGACCAGAGTAGGATTCCCAGCTTGGTTTGCTGCTCTCAGGCTAGGGGGTGCAGCCAAAGGGCCCATTACCTCTCGGCTTCTCCCGCAGCTTCCGGTAAAGCTCCCTGGCTTGTTCTTCCCTATAAAGCAGAGATGCAAGAGCTAAACTGTCATCAGCCCCTTCCAAAGCCTTGCCAGATCCCTCACGCCTCCCCGCAAGCAGCCATGCATGGACAGAGGCCTATGGCTGCACCTCAGGGCAACCACCAGGACGCTCCCTGTGACTCTGGGCTGGGGAGGTTCCAATGTCCTACATTCAGGAAGGAACTGAGCTGCCCCAGAGTTGCAACAACCTCCCCTGCTCAAGGCGGTGCCACCTACAAGTCCTCCAACGTGCCCCCCTGCTTCCAGCCCAGCGGGCTCCTCTGCAGGTCCACAATGTCGGTCTGCAATGCCATCATCCTCTTCACCAGCTGCTCCACATCCTCTTCCTGTGGAAGGGCAGCCATTAGCAGCAGCAGCTCAGCCCGAAGGCTGCCAACACATCACATTTTATCCATCAGTTTTAGCCCCCCACTCCCTCAGCTCCTCCATCCCCTTCCCCTTAACCTTTAGAAACAAGCACAGCACCTACAAGCCAGCACCATGGGCAAACCAATGCAAAGCAGGCCAAGTGCAGGGCTGGGTGCCTCCGAGAACCCCCAGAGCTGCCTCTTCCCAGCCAGCAACTAACCCTGAACGTGGATACATACCCGCCCGCAGAGCTTGACAGCCTGCTCCATCTCCCGCCAGGCAAGCAGCAGCTTCTCAGAGGCTGCAAGGCAAATGGAGATGTGAGTCAGTTGCTGTGCGCTTCCCACAGGAACCAGACACAGCTGCAGCCAAGCTAGGGGAAGGTCAGTTACTGGCTGGCCAGGGCAGCACTCACTGATGCCAAACTCAATCTGCTCGCTATACTTCTCGAGGTCAATCCGGATGCTGGTTTGGAAAAAATCCAGCTTGGCTTTCAGCTGCTGGGACAAGGAGGCCATGGAGTTCTTCATTTTGGAGAGGGTGCTGTTGTGCCGCAGCAGGTTCCGCCTGGGGAGACAGTGAAAAGAGAGTCCTGCTTGGAGCTGTTCCTGCCTGGCCCAGCTCTGTACCCAGCACCCTCCATCCACCCATCATGAGCCCCAGCACACCTGCCCCACCAACTGACCTGGCTGAATGCAGCCAACAGCACAACAGCAGCTAGGCAGGAGGCCACAACAAGAGCACTTCAGTAGCAGCAAACGACTCCCCCGCTCCCCAAGTCTCACCCCTGCCCAGCATGCAGATGCCTTTTCCTGCCCACTCCCCATAGCCAAGAAGCCAGGGCAGTGCCAGGCACCCCAGAGTGGACCCCACCATACATGGCTGCTCGCTGCCCCTGCTGGAGCCGGTTACAGTCCTCCTTCAGCATCCGGATCGTGTGCCAGACCTGGCCCCACACCTTCCGCAGCTGGAAGAAGGAGAGATTCCTCTTTGGGTCCTGGACTGGAGGGAGAGAGTGAGGCATCAGCATAGGGCAGCCCCTGGCCAAGCGTGGCCAAACCTTTGAGCCCTGCAGCACTCAGGACTGGCTCTGTTTGCCAAAGCCAGTGCAGGGCTGTCCTGCTCACATACCCAGCCCCACTCTTAGGGGAGGTCCTGCCCCATGTTGGGATGAACACAAGAGCAAGGAGCAGCGCATGCTGCCCCACAATGGTCTGGGTGCAGCACACCATGGCCATGGACCCTCACTACAGCTGCAGGTCATGAGGCCAACTAGGCTGTTCAGGATTTTCTCTGCTTTCTCTTAAACCGTACATCAGGCATGAGTGCTGAGAGCTGCCACCATGGACAGCTCCAAGGGCCAAGTGGACCAGCTGCCCTGAGCTCTGCATTGCAGTCCCCACAGCCAGCCACCCTCTGCATGGATTCCCCAGCCTAGAGAATGCCATTACGGATGCAGTCCACGCTCTCCGGATGCGGCCGCTGGGAGATCTGAGCTTCATATGCAACTTTCCGGTTGTCAAACAGAAACAGGAGGTCAGAGTCCACGGTTGCAGCTTCATTCACCTATGGACACAGGAGGACAGCTAAGCTCTCCACCAGCAGCACCACCGACAGGTCCTGGCCTTTGGTTGACCATGGGGACAAAGCTGGCAGCTTCCCAACACTTATGGTGCAGGTAGCAAACCAGGACAGGTTGCTCACCCCCCCAAATCAAGAGTCAGAGAAAAAGAAGGGTGGGAGGACACGCAGCAAGGACCTGAGTGGAGGCTACTGGTTGCGGTGTCATGCTGTGGGGCTCACCTTGCTGTCAGCCACACCTGGCACGGTCAGCTTCTGAGTGGACAGTGCGACCCCAGCCTCCTGCAGCAGCTCCTGGTCCTGCTGGGGGATGCCGGTGTCTGCCTGGATCCGGGCCTTCAGGCTTGGCACAGTCTCCTCCGCCATCACTGGGTACGTGTGCACGGTGCCCGTCACCATGTTTAGGATATGTACCAGCTGCAAGTAAAGCCGTAAGCAGTGCAGAGCAGCCCAGCCTCCGAACCCAGCAAACAGAGGGGCCAGGTCGTGAGTCCCAGAGACAGAGATGAACCGCAAGTTCAAGTAGCCCCTCAGGCTTCTTACCAGTGCCAAGCTGGTGCCTGACCCTGCACTAGGCTCCTGGATGCCCTTTCCAGCCTCCTTCCCACAGGCCAGCTATTGGCTGCATGGGGATCCCATCCCTAATACTCACCTTCAGGTTCAGGATGTCATCCAAGGCCCTGAAGCAGCCATTGGTCCCGTAGACAGGATGTGTGCCTCTTTGCCGGGGCTGCCACATCAGCATGAGCTGCAGCCATTTCTCCAGGTGCCCAGCCAGGATGCTGTGGGGTAAGCACAGGCAGGGGAGTTGGAAGGAGGAGCCACATTTCCCATCACTATCTCAGACGTCTTCTCCAGGAAAGACCAGTCAGCCCTTTCCCAGACCTTGGCTCCACAGCATGGGCACAGG